GACAGGCCTTCCCGGGAGGCGCAGGGCCGAGGGCCGGGCTCCTCGCCTCACGTGGCTCTGTGTCCCAGCTAGGTCTGCGGGGCTCGGTCCTCTAAGCGCATCTCCAAGCTGGCTTATCACCAGGGTGTGGTCATTGTGACCTGCCCTGGCTGCCAGAACCGTCACATCATCGCCGACAACCTGGGCTGGTTCTCAGACCTGGACGGGAAGAGGTGGGTCCTGGGCCAGGAGCCCACCCAGCAGGATACTCCTGGCCTCCCCCACCTGGGCAGCCCAGCTTCCTTATCGATCTAGGATGCACGAGTCTATGTGAATTTTAGATAAACCATGGAAGTTTCTAAGAAGTTTCTTAGTATAGGTAGGCCCTCAGTGCTGGGCAGATTGTTTGCTAAATCTGGCCACCCCTCTGACCCTGCCTCACTGCCTGACCTCAGCAGTGTCACTTTCTGGCATGGTGCTTTCCCTTGTGTGCCACCTCAGGGTCGGTTGACCACAGTGGGACTTGGGTGAGCTTCAGGTAGAGTGGATGGGGACCTGGGAGAGCAGTGGAGGTGGGTGTCAGGAGCCTGCTCAGAGACTGCCTGGGAGGCCCTAGGCAACACCCTCTGGCTTCTGAGCTCCATGTTGTCATCTAAGGATGGGCCAACAGCAGAAGGTCCCACAAAGACGGCCTGTGGGGCTTGGCGGTGCCCAGCCTCTTGCCTGTGACCGTCCTCCTGTCAGACCCGGGACTACACAGAGCCTCCTCTCTGACATGTAGGGCAGGGGCAGAACTGCTGGGAACAGCCACGTAGTGCTGCCTGGCAGAGCAGGATAAGGGCCCACAGGCCGGCTCCCTGGGGTGCCACGTGACCTGATGCCACACGAGTGCCAGGCCTGATGCTTGTGGCTTGCACCTGACTGAGGTGACCTCAGGCCGAGAACAGGACGAACTGCGGGACTTGGAGAGTTGTGCCACCTCTCTGTCCTTCAGGAACATCGAAGAGATCCTGGCTGCCAAAGGGGAGCAGGTGCACCGGGTGGTCGGCGAGGGGGCCCTGGAACTGGTCCTGGAGGCTGCAGGGGACCCCGCGTCTGCTGCTGCTCTGGAAGAGGGTGAAGACAAGGGCCCCACTCACTCTGGCAAGACGGAGCCGGGCTGACTCCCATGCTCCCTTGTGCTGTGGGACTTCTGCCTTCCAGACGAGGGATGTTTCTCAGCCCTGGGCCTCTCCGGACTTGGCCTGTTTTCTATCAATAAACATATCATTTCCAGATGCCGGGGCCTGTGGCTCTGGTGATGTTTCTTTTTCTGGAGTCAGGTCGATTGCCATGGCCCCCCGGGCTGCTGGGTAGGGCTCTGCAGCTGTAGGACCCCAGGCCTCACCCAGCATGTGCCCACAGTAGGACCCGTGGGAAGGGGGCTGGACATGGAGTCAGACATGCTGCAGCTGGGCAGTGGGCAGGTCACTTGACTCCTTTGAGCCTCTGCCTTCTCCTGTGCCACCTGCTGTTCCCCTGGGCAGCACTGATGGCTTCCTTCCACTAGCTGGTGCAGACCCCAACCCTGACCCTCAGGGACCAGGGAAACTAGACCTGCTCACTGGCCGCAGGCAGGACAAGTGGCTGTGTTGTGGCCGTGTCCGAAGCTCGGATGGGGAGTGGGATCCAAGGGCTGAGAGACCCCGGGAGCAATCCGGGCCTCCCCAAGCACCTGAGATGCCGGGAACCTCAGATAGGCAACTGGCAGCGCCTGCCCTCCGCCTCCATGCCCCTCCACCACGTGTGGGGCTCGTCTTGCAGCCTTGTTTGACAGCACGCTCAGGATGTGCCTGTGTTTATGAGAGCGAGTGAGCACCGGAGCGTGTTTATTTCCAGCCGTGTTCTGGGCTGTGTGACCTTCAGCATCAGCCACCGTCTGGCAGGGAGTAACTGGGATGAGGCCAGGGTGGGAGGTGGCAGCTGAACCAAGCGAGATGGGGACTGATGTGGTCCCCTGGCAGGACCTAGGCTAGTGATGACAACTAGCTCATGCCAGTTACTCCAGCGCTCGAATTACCCCATCCCTCCCTCGGCAAACGACCCTCGACCAGTCCTGCCTAGAGCCTCCGGCGCCGTCCGTGGGCACTGTCTCAGTCCCTGAAGCTGAGCCAGCCCCACACAGCTGGGCCTGCCCCCCTCCACAGCAGGCCCCGAGGCCACGGGGGCACCAGCTGGAGGCTCCTGGGGGTCTGGGAGTGCAGGAGGCTGGTGGGTTAGGGGGGCCCGGCTGCCTCCCTGGCCCGAGTGTTGGCAACATCTGGGGAGGCCCAGGGAGCTGGCGGGCCTGGAAGTGTGGAGCTGGATCCTAGGAGAGCTGCTCGGGCCAGTCCTGCCATTGTGGATGGGGAAACTGAGGTCTACAGTTGGGGCGTGTGTGTCAACCATGCTTTTTCTGTATTCTGGTGCGCTGACATCGCCTTGCTGGCCCTGGAGGGATGCCCCTTCCAGGGCTGGCTGGTTCCTGGAGGTAGTAGAGGCCCGGTGGCCAGCCCCTGTGAGCCCAGCCGTGTCCCGCCAGCCCCTGCCTTGGACCCCTTCTGAACTCCCCTCCCTCGGCCCTTCTCTTCCCACCCCCAGCCAGGCTTCTGGAAGGGACTGTGCCCGATCCTCATCCCTTACCCCTGCAGGTGTGAGAGCCAGGCCTGCAGCGCCATACGTGGTCACTGCGAGCTGTGGTGGGGGGGCCTCTCCTGCCCTCAGCCCTGGCTCTCAGTCCAGGCTTTCTTCCTCTTGGGGATGGCGGTTGGTCTGGGATGGGTGCTACGCCCTGCTGGGTGGCCCGCCGTCATCAAAAGGCATCTCCCCAAGCTGGCTTCACAGCTGTGCCAGCACAGGCCGTCCATGGCACTCATCCAGGGCTACCGCATCATGGCCACGCTGCACCTCCTTTGCTGTGCTGTGCTCCCCTGGCCCCATGCAGCGTTACCTGGGACCCTGTGTGGTAGGCTGTGCCTCACAAACTGGCTAGACCCCTAGACTGACCTGGAGTACACTGCCAGGTTGTTCCAAAGGCAGCCCCTTCCGGGGTGGAGGCAGTAACACTGAGTTAAGCTGAACCCCGTGCTAAACCCCAGAGCCCCAAAGGGCTCCCAGAGACAGTGTCTGTGGCCCAGGAACGGTCTCGTGGCTTTAGGATCTGGAATCGGGGCAGCATCGTCCAAGACCCTCCTGTGAGTAGGGATACCTATAGGGGACTGGGCCAGGACCAGGAGCACGGGCTGGCTGTGGGTGCATGGGATGGCCCTGCCAACACTCACCTGGCTGCCTGGTGCAGCTGTGTCCCCTGGTGGGAGCCCTGTGGGTCCAGGGCCCGCTAGGGTGAGGGTGAGGCTCCACTGTGCCTGGACGGCCCGGTGGCCCATGGGATCCAACTCCTAGGGTGGGCTGCAGCAGACTGAGCCCTTGAGGGGCTGTGTGGACAGCTGGGCCAACCCAACAGGAGGCTGCTTGGGAGGGCCAGCCCTCGAAGCCACAGATTGTCAGTGGCCTCTGTCCCCAAGGGGCTCAGAGGAAGGAGGTGCAGGCATCGGTGGTGACAGCAAGGGGCTTCCTACTTCTGAGCCCCACCCCCTCAGCGACCAGGGACCCCCGTTCCTCCAGAGGCCTCTGGGGACCTGACAGTGGGTGTTTGGGTGGGCTTGGACCCAGTGGCCTGGCTGGGAGACGCATTGCACAGTGCAACCTCTTGACCCCGTGGGTCAGGTCAGTCCCAGTTCATTCCAATATGGACAGCATTCAACTTGGCAGATTTTATTCTTCGGGAAAAACAGAAAAACAAATGTACCTCTTGGGTTGGAAAGGACCCATTGACAACATGGCAAACACACGTGTGAGCAATAAATACACATGTACATTCAAGTATGCGGGGTGGCCCATCCCGGAGACCCTGTGCTCTGGCATCTGTCCCTGCCCTCAGGGTGACACCTCCATCTCAAGAGGGGTCACCTGAGCCCAGAGCTGGGCCTCCACCCTGCCCTGCCTGGGCTCCCGCCAGCTCCTGGGCTGTTCCAGGCTCAGAGAGCAGGGCCTAGATGTGGCACCATCTGGAGAGGGGCTACCATTCACCCTGGGGGCTGGGGGCCACACATGGCTCTCAGAGCTCTCCAGTAGGACTGCCTTGGGCCCTGCAGGAGGTGGGCGGAGGCAGGGTCTGGACGGGAGCAGAGACCACGGCCCCTGATGGGCCTGCCTGCATCTCAGAGACCCCAGCTTGGTGCCTTGTGGGTCCTCCCTTGGAGAGAAGGCAGTGATGTAATCGCCCCCAGCTGGTGGGGAGAGAAGGGAGTTCTCATTTGGGGGGTCTGGAGGGTTGAGCTGAGCCAAACCCTCCAAGCTTCTGCTGGACCCCCAACTCGGGCCATGGCCACAAAGCCTAGTGCCACTGCCCCCCTGGCTCTCTGGCCCTCGCTGCCAGCCGGCATCCCCAGAACCAGGCCTCACTGGCATTCCTGCTGGGGACTTGGAGTTTAGAAACGTTGTTTGGGACCTTTCTTTCCTTTTCTCTTGAGACAGGCCCAGCCCTCCTCAAGGGTCCCGGGGACTCCGGGGGGCACCTCGAGGCTGCCCCTCACTGTCTTGTCTGGCTCATGTGATCTGGGGAGGGCACGCTGTGGTTGCTGACCTCTTCCTCCAGCTAGGCTGCATGTGGGGGCAGCCCTGCCCGGGCACAAGGCCAGAGGGTACTGAGCGTGGATGCCACGTAGCCACCTGGGGCCAGCTTTTGGGGTGCAGAACATGTCCTTGTCACAGGCGGCCCCGAGAAGAGGCTCAGAGACACTTCTGGGGGTGGGAGACGGCAGCTTTCACATTTGGCAGGACGGGATGGAGCCTGAGGGGAGTGGGGAGAGGGCCTAGAGGGTCGTTGGGACAGCACCGGGTCTGGGACCAACATGCTGCAGGCCCGGCCCAGCCTGGGGCAGGGGCAGGGACAGGAGTGAGGCTGGGCCAGGTGATCCTCTAGGAAGCCGTGGACTACGTGGGGGCTGGCCCAGGACAGAAGTGCACCCGCCCCCTATGGGAGGCTGCGGTGGTCACGTGCCCGGTGTTGGCTCAGTGGGGAGGGCCGGGGATGGGGGGCGAGCTCGTCCTTAGCCATGGCCCTGGGAGGATTCAGCTTCTTGGGGGGCCGTGGGCATCATGGATAACGGCGAGCCCCCGGCGTCCTGGAGTGGGGGAAGGGCAGGCCTGGCTGAGGGCTCAAGGCTTTAGCTGGTGCCAGGCTGGCACTGCTGCTGGGGCTCGGGCCCGCCGGCCTCCTGCTCAGGGCTCCCGGTGAGGTCCACACGCTGCTCATCCATGCGCTTGGCCTGCACCCTCTGAATGAGGCTGAAGAAGTCCTCGTCCGGCATGGTGGGGCCTCGGGGCAGCACGTCAGGAGGTGGACAGCGCTGGTCGTCAATTCTGGAGGACTGGGTGGACACAAACACAGTGGGCTCACGCGGCGGGACCGGCCATCTCAGCCCTCCTGTGTCCACCTGGGAAGTTGGCTCCGGGGCCTGCTTGGCTCTGGGTCTTGTGCTGGGAGCCCTCACCCCGAGAACGGTCTTCTGTGGCTGTGACCCCCAGAGCCTGGGGCTGGCCTGCCCGGCAGCAGCAGGTAGAACCTGCTGGGTGTGGGGGTGGGCCCGGCCCGGGAGACGGTGGCTCCCCAGGGACCTCTGATCCCCAGGGACTGTCCTGGAAGCTGGTGCAGCCTGGGGCTGACCCTTTGGTCAGGCAGTTGACCCCATGGAGGCTGGGGGGCCTACAGGGGCGTTGGGGCTTCTCTGTAAGGCCTGGCGCAGGAGGGATGGGAGCCGGTGCAGCTGCCGGCGCAGGTATGCGTGTGGTCGAGGGGCTCTGGGCTTCGTGGGAGGACCCGGCTTTGAAGTGGCATGTCGGACACCTGGCCCAGGACTGGGGCTTCCTCTCCTCTGTGGGGGTGAACGTGGGACCCTGAAACTTCTGGCTCTGCACGTGGGTGGCCAAGCAGCTGCCACCTCAAGGTGTTTTCCTAAGTCTCCTGACCCTGAACCCTGCCTGCTGTACTCCCCGTCCTGGCCAGCAGGTGCTGGACCCCACGGTGACCATGAGGCTCCCAGGGTTCCAGCTCAGCAGCACAGCCCTATGCCCACTCCCCTTGCTCACCCCTGCCCCGATGAGGAAGCATCGCTGGTGCCCCTCCCCATTCTGCCCTCCAGACTGTCCCCTCTGCTCTGGCTGTCCTCTGGTCCCTGTCTGGACCATCCTTGTCCTCCCCACTTGGGCTGCTGTCCAGCCCTTGCTTTTCTCTTTCCAGATATGGACAGTTGGTCAGATCCCTGGTGGCCCGAACTCCTGCCCAGAAGGGACAGCCCCACCTGAGGGTGTCCTGGGGCTGCCTTTTCGGGGGCTCCCAGGAAGGAGGGTGGATCTGAGCACCCCTGCTTATCCCGTGATGCTGGCCAAACCAACCCCGGCCACTGATCTGTGGCTCCATCCCCTTAGGGAGGCCCTCAGACACAGCCTGAACCCAAGGGACCACAGCCCCCCTCATCCTGAGGGACATCCCCTTTGGACAGCAGAGGGGCCTCAGTCCCCACCCCCGCTGCAGGCCCACCTGGTACTTGATGAGCATGTTGAAGAACTCGTCGCCTGGCTCCTGGGGGTCCGTGTCACCTCGGAGGTGGCCCACATTGTTGTGGGTGATGCGCAGCCCAGGCAGGCTGCCCACGCTGGCCCGCTGGTCATCCAGCCGGCGGCTCTGCGAGCTGGCGATGAGGTCAAAGAACTCCTCGGTCTGGGGTGAGGCTGTCATCGAGGGCGGGGCTGTGGGGGCAGGGGGGTGAGGCCTGGGGCTCCTGGCTGGGACCTGCTGCAGGCTCAGGTCTGAGGCCAGGCCGGGGCAGCTGGAGCTCTGACCCCAGACCTCTGAGCCCAGCCCACCACACTCCTGGGGACACCAGTTCCCGAGGTGTCCCTCTACCCACTTCCGGGGCCTCCAAGAGGGGGAGGAGAGTCCCAGCCTCTCTACTCCCTGAGACTGTGATATGCTCTGGCAGTGTGTTCCGGAGGGTGGGATAATTACACACCTCCCAGGATCAGCTCTGGGCCCACGCAGGGGTGTGGGTGGGGGTGGTGCTCTCGGTGACAAGGGCACTCTGCAGCTGGTCTGTCCCTGCCTTCGGCAAGCTCTTCTCTGAGGGAGGGACTGACAGCCCCGGCCCTGACCTGGGCCCTGCGCTGGCCCGAGGGAGCCTGACTGGGGAGGCACTCACCGACCCTCTCCTCCAGAGTGGGGGCAGCTGTGGCCTCGGCAGCCCCGGCCTGACCCTCCTCCAGGGGACAGCGCTGCTCATCCATGCGGCTGCTCTGGAACCTGCTCAGCAGGTCAAAAAAGCACTCCTCGTCCGAAGACGGTGCCCTGGGGATGCTCTGGGGAGGGAAGGGGCCACTCAGACCCTGGATACCGTCGGGGGCTGCCTGCCCAGCCTCAGGACCCTCTTCTGTCCCCTGCCCCTCCCCAGGATGTGTGCCAGATGTCCCGGTGCCCAATGCCACCAGCCCCACTTCCCCCCTCCCATGGCTGCCTTCCCACCCTCCCCAGCCTCAGCCTGAAACACCCCCAGACGGCCCGGGCCACCTTCGCTGTGGCCCCTGCCCCCAAGCGCCAATCACGCCCGATGTCAGCCCCGGCCTCCGCACAGCACTCCCCAGAGCCTGCTGAAGGAGTGAACTTGGAAGGAGTGAGTTCCACCCCAGCTTCAGTCTGCACATCCTTACAAGGGAGGCTGGGAGGCGTGGTCTCTTGGGGCCTCCCGAGGGGCCAGAGCAGGCCCACCCTGTGCCCCCAAGCCTCACAGGACCTGGTCCGAGGCCTCATCCATGCCCTGCTTACTCCAGCCCAACCATCTCGTGGCTGGTGGCTTCTTCAGGGACCCAATGAACAGGAGACAGCAGACATCGCCTCCTGGGAGCTGATGCAGCCAGCCTAGGATTCCTGACATCTGGAACTCCCCAGGACCCAGGAGATAGGGATGACTCCTGTCACTGGCTGGATGCACAGAGGACAGTGAGGCACAGAGGGGTTGTGTGACCCGCCCAAGGTCACAGGAGCAGAGTCGGGATTCGGACACAGCGAGCCCCAGACTGGACTCCCCGAATGAAGCTGAGGGTTCATGGCAACCTTGTTTTAGGTCTGGACTCAGGCGAGGTCTCCAGAGGCAAAGGGGAGCCTGCGGGGGGTGACCTGGCAGGAAGCAGTACTGAGAGAGACCCTCTCCAGCTCTGGGCCCCCAGGGCACCCTCCCAGGCAGGCCCCAAGCCACCTGTCCCGAGCTGAAGCTGGGGAGGGAGAGCTAAGCACCCTTCCCCGCAGGGCCTCTTCCTCTGTGGCCTGGTCAGGTCTGTAGCCCCTAAACCAGGAAGGAAGGGAGAACTAGCACCGAGGGCCACACGCCTTTGACCTGGGGCTCTAGGACCCACAGGCACCCCCCTGGGATGGTCCAGAAGGGAGCATGGTCCAGGCTGTGGGGGCCAGAAGTGGGGCCCAGAGCAGTTGTGGGCTTCAGCACAGAAGGGAGGGTGGACACAGCATTGCCTGCTGCCAGGGTCAAAGCTCCTGTTGCTCCAGCCCCCCACCAGCCCCTGTGCCTGAACCTCGAGCCAGGTGAACTGAGCAAGGGCCCCCAGGGAAAAGGTAGGACCTGCTGGGGCCCAGGGCTGGACCCCCCTGACTCCTCCAGCCTCCCCTGGGCTGAAACCTGGGGCTCCGGGGATGCACTTGAAGGAGAATAGGGTTTGCCCTGAGACTCCCCTGGTCCCATCCCACCTGGGCCACACCTGAGGCACTGTAGCAAAAGCTGACCGTTCCTCTAGGATCTGCACCTGGGCCCTTCCCCTCCCCAAGCCCAGGCCACTGGCAAGGGTCTAATGCCTTCCCCAGGGACAAGCCCCTCAGGAGCGTGACTCTGGGCTCCGAGACCACAGCCTCCCAGCAGGACACACCCAGGGGGTCTTGAGGGAACCACCTCCCTGCTCCAACCTCTCCCTTCCCCCAAACCCTGGCTCCTTCCTTCCTGAATGTCTCAGAGTTTCTCCTTAAGTCTGACTCCAATCTCTCTTGGTTTCGAATAAGCCCAGGTTCTCCTATGGAGGAAGGGACAGACCCAGGTCAGGTCTACCCACCCCATCTTCACGGAGGCCCAGGAATGCCCAGAGCTTCCACCTGCCAGGGACTGCAAGGACCCCTCACTCACGCTGGAACACAGTCTCTCTCCACAGCAGCCGCAAGGAGCCCCGCGGGGTGATCAGCCACGCAGAGTCCAGACAGGATGCCAAGGGGCCCTGTGCCACAACCACCACCACCCTGGCTGAAGCGCCAAGTCGCCTCGATGCTGGGATGCCTGAGGCTTAAATAGGAGCCCGGGTGAGGGCTTGTCTCTCCCAGCCTCTGCCCTCCCTTCCTCCCTCGTTAAGCGCGCACACACTCTCTCTCTCTCTCTCTCTCACACACACACACAAGCACACACAGACACACACACACAGGCACACAGGCGCACTCCGTAAACACTCTGACGCAGGAGAGGGTGCTCTCCCTCGAGCTGTGGGCGGGCGCCCCGGGGGCCTGTGGCGGTGGAAAGCTAATGCGAAAGGCCCCTTTCCTGCTGACATCCAGGCCCCTGGGCGTCCTTCCAGGGGCTGGGCCAGCCGCGGGAAGCCGCCTTTCTTCAGCCCAATTCCTGAGGCCCCCGAGGAACCAATAATTTCCTTCCCTGCTCTGCCTGCTCCGGCCCTTGCCACTCCAGAGCCCTCAGTGGCATCCCAGTGCCCTGGCTTCGAGGCCTTCCCAGCCCAGCTCAGCTCCAGCCATGTTGGCTGGCCACCCCTTCATCTCTCTCTAGCTGGGCCCACTCTAGAACACTGTCCCCAGCCTCTGAGGCCACCCTGCTGTCCCCTACCCCCATCCCAGGACAAGTTCTCTGGGCCCCCAGACCCCAAAGTCCCTGTCTGCACTGGGTGAAGGCCCCTGTACTGCCTGGGTGCAGACCCAGGGGTGTGGGAGGCAGTGGGCAGAGGCAGGGCTGGGAGGCGCAGGGCTGGGCCATCCACAACGGTGACAGTGTCAGTGTCAGCTGCACTTTACAGATGAGGACTCCAAGGCTCAGAGGTGAAGGCCTACCCCTGTGGAACCTCATTAAAAGCGGAGGGGACCTACTCAGCCATCACCCTCCAGTGTTCCCAACCCACCCTCGCTGCAGCCCCCACGCAGGTTGCCACCTGGGGAGTGGACAGTCCTTACTTCAGGGCACCCAAGGCTGCGGTCTCAGGGAGGGCAGCGGGCCAGGAATGGCAGGAGGCCCAAGAGGCTCTTCCATGTCCCCACAGACCCCGTTCTATCTGGTCCCGAGATCTCATCTGTCTCCTGGGTGTCCTGCCCTAGGAGGTATCAGCAGGGGCAGGAAGAACAGGGCCCACAGCAGGGGAGCTACTCAGCTACTCAGGGCAGGTCAGCCGAAGTCCCCAGACTGGTGGGTTAGGCAACTGGGGCCCACAAAGCAGGATGCCCAGGGGAATCCAGGGGACGCCCAGGATATCCAGGGGAGTTTCCTGGGGACACACGCAGCCTAGGGGAGCCCTGCTCCTGAGTCAACTGGCCCTGGCTTGGTGCACACACACTGCCAGCCTCCTGCTCCTTCCTAGTTGGCCCAGATGTGACCAGCAGAGCCAGCGATGGATAGGGCAGGGACCTGGGTCTCAGTCTTGTCCCTCCCGCCAGGCCACGGAGACTGGGTGAAGGACGCTCAGGGGGACCTAGCTGGGTACTCCCGGTGCCCTCTCCTCCTATCACACACCAGTGGACAGGCCCTCGTCAACCAGCAGGCCCAGGGGTGGCCCAGGGGTCAAATGAGGTCAGAGGAGGCTGCACCCAGCCGGTAGAATGATGGGCTCAGGCAGCCTTTTGGGCTAAGAATACCTAGCACAGCACCCATGCCCCCGGCAGGCGGGGACAGTGCTGATTAAGCCCATGGAGGGCACTATTTTTAGACTAATTTCTGGGGGTTTGGACCCAGGTGTCCTGCTCAGGGTGGGGTCCAGGCTCCAGACTGACCTCTGAACCTGGACCCGGCCCCTCTGTGCCCCGAACCCCAACCAATTCCCACATGCCTGAAGAGAGTGCCCGGGCCTAGCACAGGAGGAAGCAGGACACCTGCTGGCCAGAGGCTGGGCCCCATCCCTCGCCTGTCCCTCTGCCTGACCGCCAGCCTGTCTGTCCACCCTCCATCCACCCACTGACCTCCTGTCTGTCCATCCCCATCCATCCATCTGTCCACTTGGCCACTGTCTCCCACTCCCCCCCACTTCTGCTGCAACAAAAACTGACCACGTCCCACCCAGGAAGAGACTCCGGGCCAGGCCCCAGGACTTGAGGGGCCCTCAGGCTGCACTAGACACTTGCTGGGCCATGTGTCACTCTCCAGCCCCACGAAGCTTCCAGACCCAGGTGGGTGTGGGGTCTCCCAACCCAACCAGGAGGAGCCCTGGATGGATGCCAGCTTCCTGCTGCCTCCTCCCCAGAGACTCTGCAGCTAAGCATGGGCCACCCTAGCCACACCCCCTGCACAATCCACTCCTCAGCTGGTACCTCCTGGGATCTTCTTGTCCTGTCCATACTCCCCGCAAACAACAAGAAGACCCCACTCCCCTGCTTTTCAGCTGGGCCAGAGCAGCAGGACCTGACCTGCTCGGGGACTCACTGCCCTAAAGCTCTGTGGATCCCCCGGAGTTGTCAACCACCTCTCAGGGAATTCCACCAGAGGACTCCCAGGGCTAACGTCACTGGCCAGAGCCCCTGCCAGCCGATCCCAGTCCCCAGCAGGCTGGAGGCTCCCACCACAGGGGGGTGTCCCACCAGGGGGCAGGTCTGTGCAGCCAATCCCTTTCAGACCCTCCACAAGGGTCTGGAGGGTCTCAGTGGGGCTGGGAACAGAGAGCTAGACCACCTGAAGACCAAGAAGAGCCAGTTCCCAATGGATGACAAAGACGGAAACTGGGGCCCAAAGAGAGGTAGGGCCTGACCATGCAGGGAGAGCCCAGCCCAGAATGTCCCTGGGAGGTACTCTGGTGCCTGGACTGCCTGAGTCTGGGTGCCCTGCACTGACCACACACAGGGGTTCCAGGAGACACACAGAGCCAGGCCTGCTAGGGGCCTCTGCCTCCCTGGTGTGACTGGGCCCGGCCTGGCCTCCCACGGGCTTGGCAGCAGAGGGGACAGGGGGTGCCATGCAGATTCTGTGCTTGTCTACCCCTGGCCTGGCCCCGCTGTCTGGGGCACCTACCGTGCGAGTCACCTGCACCCGGACGTCCGCACTGTCCAGTGGGGAGTGACTGCCCTCCCGGGGCCTCCTCTCAGCATCTGGCCCTTCCTGGTACTTCCGGCTCCTCACGGGAAGGGGGAGCGTGTCCCTGCTGGGCCCCCGCCAGTCCCCTGCGTGGTGGCTGTCTCCATTCTGCTCCTGGGGAGGGGGAAGGCTATACATGGGCACGGCGATTTCAAATCAACGTCCCCAGTCACAGGACCCTAAGTAGGCCAGGTGGGTGCAGTTGCCACCCTATTTCACGGACACACACAGTAGGCACTCTGTTCCCGAGGAAGGAGGCAGAGGCCTGTGGGCTGTGGGCACCCTTGGCTGGGGCAGGGAGAGGTGGAGTGGACACCCGAGGGGCACTGAGCTCCCGGATGTCATTCATGTCACACTGGGCAACGAAAGCAGCCATGGACAACCCTGATCCTTGTCCCTGATCAGGCCCCTGACAGCCACCCACAGCTGAACCTAGGGGCTGTGCTCGAAAAACCAGAGGCTCAGAGAAGCTAGGCCACTGCCCAGGGCTACATAGCACCCACTCAGCAGGCACAGAGCCAGCCCAGGTCCCCACCTCCACCCAGCCCCTGAATCTGTTTGTCCTTCTGGGTTGACAGAGCCCCAGTCAATGGCACCACCTGGAGCAGCCAGAAGTGGGTGTCCCTGCCTCAGGCTCCCTGGGAACACTGGCGACACAGTGGCCAGGTGGAGCTCCAGGCTACAATGTGTAAGGACCATACCTCATGCCCTGGGGGCACAGCTGTCCAGCCAGTGAGGTACTCTGTGGGGGTCAGGTGCTGGGGGCCTTAAGGGCAGGTGGCAGATGGGCCCAGCCAGGCCCTGGCTGCTGAGGACGTATTTATCTCCCAGTGTCAAGGCTGAAGCGGGTGGCGACAGCTGGGCAAACACCGCACCCGCCCCATTAACCCCTGACGGCAGCTGTGCGACGTCTATCCCGTGTCCCCCAGTCCTGCTCACCCGCTCCAGGGGAAGCCTCAGCAGGTCCCAGGTCTCAGCGCTCAGCCTCTGCGTCCTCTTGGGCCTGGCCCCTGGAAGACACAGGGCTCAGTCAGCCAGCATGACCCTCGTGCCTCGAGTCAGCTGTCCAGGCGAAGGCCCTCCAGGGGTTGAGAAGAAGCAGTCTGGCAGAGCTGCCCTCCCTCCCGGGGGGGCCAGACTGGAAACTAGAAGCATCTGGAACGTGAAGAATGACCCCAGCCAGGAAACCCTGTGGGAAGCGCTGTAGAGGCCAGCTGAGACCGAGGGCCTTCAGGGGCCTCTATGAGAAGCGCTGCGTGAGATGGAGGGGATACAGGCGAGCACGGAAAAGGCAGCAGGACATTCCAGGCAGAGGGGATGACGAGGAACCCACTAATGCCTGTCCCAGGGAACTGCTGCCTACAGAAAAGACCCTGAGCCTTCTCTTCAGGCTCACCCCGCCCCCTGCAGACACACTGGACATTGATGGTGCCGGGGAACCCTACAGGCTGTGGGCAGACTGAGCCCTGGCTTGGCGACACTGAGTGTCCAGTCTTGGCACCTCTGGGCCAGTGTTCTGGCTCTGTGGCCACCTTTTGGTACTCAGGGGCATCCTCTATCAGACAGGCCAGCAGGGATGTGGCTGGGAACTGATGGGAGGTTGGCCGGCCATGTCAGGCGTCTAACAGCAGCCAGATAGGACAGTCCCCTCAGTGGTCACTGCTCAACTCACAAAGTGAAGCTACTTGTGCATGCTGGCAACATGTGGGCAAGGGAGCTGGCCAGGCCGAGACATCCAAGCCAGGCCCTCCACATCAGAAGACACAGCTGCCGGGGGATCCTTGCTCCATTGTTAGCAGCCCTGGGGTCCAGAAAGGGTGCAGGGGCCTCAGTGTGCCGCCTGGACACCTCCCATCAGCTCTGGATGCTGTGCCCACTCACCCTGCTTAGAACACGGTGTCCTCAGAGAGAGGGATCCGGCCCAGGTGGTCACTCACCCACACTGGGCCCCAGAGGACAGGGCTGGACCACCAGGCACAGTCCCTCCCAGCATTGTCTGTACTGCTGGGTCTCCAAGCCAATGAGTTTCCCCACCCCCACGGGGCCCCGATTTAAATAAGTGCTGACAGGCCTGGTGCAGTGTCTCATGCCTGTAATCGCAGCACTTTGGGAGGCCGAGGCAAGAGGACTGCTTGAGCCCAGGAGTTTGAGACCAGCTGGGGTAACATAGTGAGACCCTATCTATATACAAATGAAAAAATTAGTTGGGCGCAATGGTGTGCCCGTGGTCCTAGCTACTCGGGAGCCTGAGGTGGGAGGATCACCTGGGCCCAGGAGGTCGAGGCTACAGTAAGCTGTGATCGTGTGCCATTGCACTGGGTGACACAAAAGTAAATGGATAGATAAATAAGTAAATAAATGCCTGGGTCAGACTATCAGGAAGGGGAGAAAGGGGACTTGGAGCAGGACAGAGTCTCAGGGGCCCTCAGGGCTTCCTTCACAGGACCTACCTGCAGATGAGACTAGGCCAGCATCTTGGGGGGCAGTTGTCTGAGGCACTGGATAGAGGCCAGGCCTCCACCCTGACTGGGACATGGGGTCCTTGCCTCCACCCAGTGCATGGCGGTGGCAAGAACCAGCCAGGGGCGTTAGATGGCCAAGAAGGGGCCTGGTGGGCACAGGGCACTGGCTGGGCCTGGTTACCAGCACTCCACATTGCCAGTTTAGATGGCAGGCGTCCTGACATGGTTGGGGTGAAAGGAGCAGGGGGAGCCAAGGACTTTGGGGGCTCAGGTTGGTCCTCCCACCTCCAGTTCCCATACCTCACATCTAGGGCTTCCTACAAAGTGGGCAGTGATTCAGAGCCAGTCAGAGGGGGCAGAATGCACTGGGAAGTCAGGGGGCAGGGTGGGTGTGGGTTGGCGGGCCCTTCCCCTCTCCTGGCCTTGGGGCCCTGAAGATGCCACACCTGAGGCCCTGCTCTCCAATAGCCTGGGTCAGAAATGCATGGAACCAGAGGCACACGGGGGCTGCCAGCGGACTCAGAGGCCCAATCAGGAGATGAGAACAGGCCAGGTCTTGGGGGGCAGCTGTCTGAGATTGGCTAAATCAGGCCAGCTGATGCAGCTTCGAGGGGCCAGGGCCCATCTGCTGCCCCTCCCATTCCCCACACAGATGCCAGAGCAGGGCTCCCTGCCCCAGCCCTGTGCCTGGTGGTCCATGGGGTCCTGCTTCTGCCCCTGAAAACAGCCCCGACTGGTGACATCTCCAGCCTGGGCACATTCAGGCTGTGGTGGTCCATGGGGTCCTGCTTCTGCCCCTGAAAACAGCCCCGACTGGTGACATCTCCAGCCTGGGCACATTCAGGCTGTGGTGGTCCATGGGGTCCTGTTTCTGCCCCTGAAAACAGCCCCGACTGGTGACATCTCCAGCCTGGGCACATTCAGGCTGTGGTGGTCCATGGGGTCCTGCTTCTGTCCCTGAAAATAGCCACAGCAGGTGGCATCTCCTGGCCCAGGCACATTCAGGTGTCCAGGCAGCCTGAACAAGACAGGATGGGGCTGGGGCTGGGAGTACTGTTCTCTGGAGGGCTGCCCGCTGCCCATGCCACCCTGCATGAGGAAGGCAGCTCTGAGGAAGACATTGTGGGATCATTCCAGAACCACATGGAATTTGGGGCTTGTCCCCTTCCCCCATGGAAATGACAGGGGCAGAGTCAGTGCTGAGCGACCCCTGTAGGGCAGGCAGGCAAACCACATCCTGTGAAGACCCTGCTGCATCTCCCTCCTTGCACTAACCTGGGGGCTTGACTCAGTTTCCCCACCTTGTCTGTGAGGCCCCAGGCCCCTCACAGCTGCTTCCTCCCGGCGTAGCCCTCCACCACGATGCTGCCTGTCTGGGCTCGGCCACAGCAGAGGCAGAAATACCCTTTTTAAAAAAAAATTTTTTTTTTGAATCAGGGTCGTCTCACTAAGTCATCCAGGCTGGAGTGCAGTGGCACAATCACAACTCACCACAGTCTTGAACTCCTGGGTTCAGGCGATCCTTCTGCCTCAGCCTCCCGAGTAACTGGGATTACAGTTGTGTGCCACCATGCCCGGCTAATTTTTTTATTTTTATTTTTAGAGATGAGGTCTTGCTATGTTGCCCAGGCCGGTCTCAAAGTCTTGGGCTCAAGCAATTCTCTTGTCTTGGCCTCCTAAAGTGCTGGATTCCAGGCATGAGCCACCACGCCCGGCCAATGAGACAGAAATACCCTTCTGAGACACAACCTGCATCTGCCTCCACGTCAGGCTCCCCAAGGCCAGGCAGGGGCGGTGGGAAGCTGAATGCACCCTCTGTCTGAAGATCTGCCGAGGTGTTGAGTTCAGTACCCTTGGCTGAGCCACCTGACGGAGGGCCCTCAGGTCCTGGCCCCACTGGATTGCCTTTCCTGACCCTTCCGCCTACAAAGACAAGGTCTGGAAACTTCTCCCAGCACTGACACACACCCAGCACGGACATCACTCAAGCCTGGCCATCACACTATCATCATTTCTGTCCCTGGTCAGCTCTGGATGTGTATGATCAATGGCCGACTTGAGCCCCCCGAACATCTTGGGGCATTCTGTCCCACCTGCCCTCCCAGGGGCAGCACCCCGCCCCCCACCCCACCCCCTTGGCTCTGATGATGCACAGCTGCCCTGGCCTGTCCCTCACTCTCTCCCTCCAATGGTTTGAAA